TATATATATATATATATATATATATATATATATATATATATATATATATATATATATATATAAAATCATACTGAGTTATATGTTAATCCTTGTTAATCAGGTTGTGGTGGAAAAAGTTCCGAGCCTAACTTTTTCTTCTCCCTGCATAGTTCCTAAGCTGCCTTTTCTCAGACAGGCAGAAGAACCAGCTTCATCAATATGACAGCATCTCTCCTGGAGAAGGCTCTGGAGTTTCCAGGAGCGCTCATTTATCTCTATAACATTGGATCAATATGCTTCCAGCTGATCTAACTTCTGGGTCCAAGTCGTCTCGCTCACCAGAAAGCTTCATGTCTAAATCTTTACCAGATCTGCGCTCCAGTTTCATCCACTCCAACAAGTCTGATTTAATGGCAGACGATGAGGGAAAAAAAAAAATAGGGTTTCATCTTTTCAAACACTGTATGTAAATATTTTTCAGCCAGATTTATTTTCAAATTAAGTAAACCTCTACAGCAGCGGTTTCTTTTCTTTGAATAGGATGATGAATTCCCTTCCTTTCATCTCCAATCTCTGAGTCTGCATGATGAAATGGGGAGAGCAATGAGTGGAATGTGGATTTCTACCATGCAGATCTCAACACATAAAGCGAGCACGCTGCATGCAGACACTTGCCACCGTGTGCGTGCATGAAAGCGTGTACGCGTGGCGTGTTTGCGTCAAAAAAGGCTGGCTTTGACTGGCCCAAAAATCGGATGTTTTCTCATTCGAGCGTTTCCCAGACACACCTCTCTCTCCTCCTTGTCGGCCTTTTTTCTTATTTCTTCCTGTTTTCTTATTTAACCCATCTCTGTCTGGCTGTATGATTTATTTTGCATTTGTCTGTCACTGGGTTGTCTTGCAGTCTTTTTGTTTTACATTTAGACATAAAGATGTAGGCTTCAGCTTCTCCTCCCCTCCTCCTCGGCTGTAATATACAGACAAATGCTCAAAGCCTTGGGGCGGAATAGTTAAGAAGGTATGCAAAGTAAGTCTTTTAGGACTTTGAATGGACCACAAGAAGAAAGAATAAGGGGGAACGTGAGAGGGGGAAGGGAAGAGGACAAAGATGGGGCTAGATGAAGTGTAGGGAGAAAATGGTCTGAGCTGCAGGTGTGGGAGCTAAATTTCTGGCTTCAGTTCCCACACGGTAAGATGCGTCTGATTTAAAGCCAAAAGTTAACACATTATGACAGTTTCTAATTATGGGAGTTTTTTTTTTTAAGGCTGCTCCAGTGAATCTGATTTCTTTGCTTTTCCTCATAACCTGCAATTTCAGAGGAAATAAAAAAAGGGGCAGTATAATCAGCTGAAGAGCACAAATCCCATGCGTCTCAGATCCCTCATCCCGCCCACCAAATACAAGCCTTCCATTCTTGTATATTTTCCCCTCATTCACTCCAGCGAGACGCCTGTGAGGAGGACGCGCTTTCACTCTGTTTGGACAAGAACCCAACACTTGGGGGAAAAAAACGGACTCATTTGAAAACAACTCAATCTATGAACAGGATTTCCATTTCCTTTTCTTCTTAAATACTTTTCTAAAGATCAGAGAGCTTGGCCGTGAAGTTGTGACAGCTTTAAAAAAAAAGAAAAGAGGGAGAGAAAGAGATTTGCCCTGAGGGCTTTGAAAGAAGAAACAGGAGCCAGATAAAAAAGGGCAGCGATAATCTGCACAGCTGCTGCGTGAAGGGAAGGAGCAACAGACAGATAAAGAAAGAAAACGAGGTGAACAAGGACAAGAGGAGACAGACGAGGACAATCGGAGGCTGAGGAGAAAGAGACCATTCAAGTTGAAGGCCGCCGTAGATATAAATACAAAGTGAAGACAAAATCCAGAGGGACACCTGTCGTCATAACAGCAGCAATGGAGAAGCAGCACGGCGAGAGGAGAAGCCGGGTCTGAGCGGAGACCACCTCCGAACTGTGCTTGACTGAAGTAAGAGGAGAAGGTTTCTTCAACATGATTTATTCAGGTGTTTTCCACAAATCCAACGAGCTGCACGGGAGAAGCAACTTTGTCCCAGGATAGAAGGAGAAGAGGAGCCTAATCTGTCATAACATTCCTGTTCCTCTCCCTCCTCTCCACCTCAGACTCCTTCACCTTCCTGTCTTCACGTTAAGTTCACCAACTTCCTCCCTCTCCCCCTCTCCATCCCCTCACTATGTGGATACCAGCTGTGCTCCTATGGATGCTTAACTTCAGCTATTTGTGCTCAGGACAAGACTACATGAACTATTATCAGAGTCCAGACAGGGGCACAGAGGTAAGCCAACACTTCTCCATTTATCTTTAAACTCAGATTTGGTATAAGTTTTATAAGGGGGGATTCGTTTTCATTAATTAGGAGCACTAAGGCAAAAATTATTAAATAACTTCAGTGCTATCTGAGGCAGATAAGACATATTTAGATTGGAAAAATCCCTGAGTGAACAAATTACAACACAGGCAGTCTTCAATTAGGAGAATCACAAACCAGGAGAGATTTCCCCACAGCTCCACAAGTAAAGCATTAAAAAGAAAACCTGAAAGAAGACTTTGGTCAGAGGGATCCTTAACCCTTTAT